CTTTGCTGGAGGGAAGTCCAGTCTACAGTGTGTGTGTGGGGGGGGGCGGGCTGCCTGCAGGCGGACCTAGGTCTCCCAGGATGACCTGCGGGATGGGGCTGGGGTGCTTTCGTTGGGGCCCCCTTTTACCTGTCTCACTCACCTGCCTCTGCCAAGATACCCCTCCCTCCCCGCCCCTCAGATCCCCAGGGTCTTGTTTCCCCTGGAAAGGGTAGGTCCGAGGGCATTTGGGACTGGTCTGACGCACAGTATTTCACTACCCGCAATGGGAGGGAAATTCTCGGGTGGCGTGGGGTGGAGCGGGGCCCTCGTGGGCAGGGGTTCAGGGGGTCCGGCCAGAAGGTCGAAGGGAAGTCCCACGGAGCGTCTCTGGGTCCTTGTTCCGCATCCAGAGCTCCCTCGGGAGGGGGGCGGGGGCCGGTGGTTGCTTTCGCCCCAACCCCCGGTTCCCAGGTGCGGCCCTGTTTCCCTCCCTGCGCCCCGCAGTGCGGACCCTGCCGCCGCGCGTAGCTGCGCGCTCCGAGCGGAGAGGGCAACAAGAGAAATTCTACCCGCGGCCCCGCCCCTCCGAGCATGCGGGCCTCAGTTTCCCCGGGGCTGCAGGTGCGTCTTTGTGACCTGTCCACCACCCCGGGCCCGCAGCCAGCAGAGCGCAGACGCCAGTGTTTGAGCCTGAGTGCGGGTCTGTCAGTCCGTCGGTCCGTCTGGGTGGGCGCCGGGCTGGGCCCCGACGGCACAAGGCTGAAGGCTGCGGCACTCACCGGGGGCGCAGGGGTAAAGGGGCTCCTGCGGGCGCAGTCTCTCGGGCTGGGGACTGCGGGACCCCGCGACCGTTCGCAGCAGCGCTCGCTGGAGACTCAGGCGCGCGTTCTGGCGGTGGGCGGACGGACTGGGGGGGCGGGGGCGGGGCCTCTTCGCAGCTCCCGGCCGCACGGCTCAGTGCGGGGAGGGGGGAAAGATCCCGGGATGGGCGGGGCTGTCGGGCGGCGCGGCTTGGTGGAGGTGGTTTGTGTTTTCCGTGGGGTCTCTGCCCTGGGGCCCCAGGGAAGCCAGCGTCGCCCGACACTGACAGAACTAAATCGGGGTGCCCCACGACAACTCTTGTGAGGGTGGGAGGCCCAAGTTGGCCACTGTCTCTTGTCAGGTCACAGACAGCTGGACCTCGGGCACCCCGTCCACATCCCCGGCCTCCACCGCATCTGCTGTCAGACCAGCTGCCCCGCGGTTATCTGGAAGGCTTGGTTTTCGTTTTCGTTTTTGTTTTTGCGGTACTGGGGTTGAACTCAGGGCCTTCATCACACTGAACTACACCCCCAGGCCTTTTCTGAGACAGAATCTGACTAAATTGCTCAAGCTGGTCTTGAACTTTTACAATCCTTCTGCTTCAGCCGCCCAAGTGCTGGGATTACAGTATAGGTGTTCACCACCATCCTGGGCAATTTGGAAGGCTTGTTAAACACACCTGTTGGTCTGCTAGTCTCTTAACAAGCTGCCTGCCACAGGCCTGGCCCCTTGGACTACAGGCTGTCCTGGGCTGCTGGAGTGCTTGGGGTTGTTGGAGGGGCACAACAGGCTCCTAGGCTCAGCTGAGCTTCATCTGGACACTGCAACTTAGATTTGGGGAAGCTTTTACTCCAGAGGGCGGATCCTTAAGAGTGGGACCTTGCCCTGTAAGGAGCAGAGGCAGAGGCAGGGCAGGCACCCTCTCTGCTCAGCTGAGACGCAAGGAGGGTTCCCCCTGGAAGGCTGTTGCCAACTTCCAGAACAGAGCTCAGGCAGAGGCCCGTCTGCAGATCACTATGTACAGTCCTCCCTGTCCCAGCTGCCCCCCTGTCTTTACTGCTGGTCACTCAGATGGGGCCCAGGAGGGGACAGCCTGGACACTGTTCCCAGCTCAGGATACAGGTGGCTTCTCCCCTTGCCCTGGGACAGAGCGACATTGCCACCTCCTAGAGCTCTCGATTCCAACTCACATCTATCCCCAGCCCCACACCTGTCAGCAGGAGACAGGAGACAGCACAGGATGGCAGGGTGAGGGAGGCAGGACCATGAGATGTGTTCTCCTTCCCCACTTCCATCCTGACCCAGTCTAGCCAGGAAAATGGAGTGTTGTGGGGGGAGTTCAGGAAATGTATTCTGCTTGGTACAGGGATGTCAGATGAGCAGGAGGGTGGGTCTGGACCCTGTGTACCCACCTGTGCCTCTGAAGACAATGGAGATTGTATAGGGGCAGCTAACCTCCCTCCCAGAATCTGAGCTGAGCCCCCAACCTGACAGTGCTGCATCAGGTTCTGACAACCTGTTGGAACAAACATAGTCTGGTTGCCATGGTGATCATAATGGCTTTGGGGTGAAAGGATGAGTCTGCAGCTGCTGTAAACAGGAAGTTGGGGGGGGCAGCTGCCAGGCTCTCAGGAGGGGCTCCAGCTTGTGAGAGCAATCTTCAGACTTCTGGGCTGGTTGGCCCCTCCGAGACTCTCACTGCTCTCTAATGGGCAGGGAAACCAATCCAGGCTTGCAAAGTGACTTGTCTGAGGCCACACAGCAACAGGCTGGAATCCAAAGCCAGCCCCGTGGCTCAGTTTCCCTGAGATAGGATAATCACAGGGCTCTTCCCCCAACAGATGTTTGGGGAGGAGATTGACCCCTCCCTTTATTCTTCCCTCACTTGTTCTGAGACTGAAATCAGACTGACCTGGGTGAGAGCCCAGCCCTTTTCACCCCTGCCCAACATATCACTCTGGTGCCTGCTGCCTGACTTTCCCTTGTCTGTAAAGGGAACATAACAGCTGCATCCCTGGGGCTCTTGGGGGGACTTAGTAGGGCAGTCTAAGCTTGTAGCAAGTTCGTGTCCACTAGAGTCCTTCCCATCAGTGGGGTGGGAGCTGTGACTTTTCCAAGATATAGTTTCCTGCCCTGTGGTTGGAGGTGGAAATCAATCTTTCTTGTGATCTTGGCAGTGGGCAGAGAGGGCAGGCTACCTCCTCCTGGTGCCTGGGCTGCCGACCTTGCTCTGAGGAGTCCTTGACTCCACTGGCCGGAACCAGTGAGCAGCTGTTGTCCTCTGGGGTGAGGGGCCAGCACAGGGCCAGGACATTTCCCAGCAGGTATCTGTAGCATAGGGTGACCTTCCTGGATGGAGTCAGCTCACAGGGACCACAGGAAGGCCAGGACTGATAGTGCAAATGCAGAAAAAAGACTGTTCAGGCCTAGCTGTGTGCACATTCAGGAGTCCAAGCTGGAAAGGGTCTGGCAGGTGGGGAGAGTGACTCTTCCTCCTTAGGGCTTAGAAGCATGGGGCTCTGGGTGCCAAGCTCCATGGGAGCTGACCACGCAAAGCACCATGCCCTCTGGTGGCTGCCTGCACAATTGCAGGCACAGCCTTCATGGGCAAGCTCCTCTCACTCTGATGCCAGTGAGGACTCTGGCCAGAACCCTACCTGCTCTGAGGCTTGAGAACCCAGAGGATTACAAGAACCTGTACCTCTGCCAGCAGAAGATGGCTTCAGGGGTAAGGATCTGCCCCAGGACTGGCATCCTGCTTGAGACACTAGCTTCTGGTCACCTGAGTCCCCTACATGCAGCTTAAGGAGCCTCTTGCCACCACACTGATAGGTGAATCAGCTCAATCTTGGTGCCATCGTGAGTCTGTTGGTTTCTGAGGAGCCCTAGGTATGGGTATGCATAGGAGGCCCAAGATAGAGCCCCATAAAGGGCAAGAGAGGCCATTGGTGGGATAAAGCCCATCTAGGAGTTTGGGGAAGCAGAGAACCACTTTGAGTGCACAGGCCCCTGGCCTCTGACCTCCCCATCAGCTCTCTGCTAAGTGGGTGTGCCAGGCCCCCTCCCCAGCAAGAGTGCATACTCAGGTCACCCCTTTAGCAGGGGCCAGTCGGGGAAGAGGACAAGGGGCCCATTAGGAGATAGAGCTGGACATAGCTTATGTACCTAGCTCCTCTGTGCTCATCCTTCTGTGCAGGTCCTGGGGATGGAGGTGCCCTTATCCTGGATCTGGGGCCTGACACTTTCTGCAGGGGCAGAATTCCCTTGGGGGTGGGAATTTGTCTTCCTCTTTCCTGGAGAAAGGACACAGGTTTGGCCTGAAAGTGCTGAGGCCCTGTGAAGACAAACCCAGCCATACACCCCAAGTTTTTGTGCTGTTTGCTTATCCCTCACCTCAGCCCTAATTTGGGTCAGCAGGGTTGGTGTTAGATGAGCTGTCCCCAAGCCCAGTGCTCACTGGGTCCCCTCTGCTTGAACTGGCTCAGATTGATTCTAGTAGGCCCAAGTCAGTGCTGAGCCTCCAACCTGGCAACTCATCACCATGGCAACAAGCTAGTGGCTTGCTATTAGCAGATCCAGCTGTGACTGGAGGGTCTCAGGTTGATGAAGGTGCCCAGGTAGCCCCGGTTGGCCTCTGTAGGGGACTGGCATGGGAAATCAGCCAGGGATTTGCCTAGACAGTTCAGGAAGATGAGGGGGACAACCAGCAGGCTCCAGACAGCCAGGCCTCGGGCAACAGCCCTGTGCTGTGGCCAAGTCTCCTTGCTTCCCATGGTCTGCTTAGCCCCAGGATCCAAGTGGCTAGGGAGATGGGCAACCAAGGCTGGCTGAGGCCCAGGCACAGGCCCACTTCTACTGCCTGTGGTCAGCTTCCCCCAGGCTGGCTCCTGGCACTATGTAAAGGCCTGTGGGGAGCCAGGGGCAATCTGTCCTTGGCCCCATCAGGATTTAACTGAGTGCCTCCTGTGTACCTTGGTGTCTCAGGCAGCAGTAAGGATGCAGTCCCAAATCCTGGGCGCTAGGGCCTGGAGACTGGGAATCCCACCTTGGCGGGCAGAGACAACATCCCCACTGGCCAGTAAGGGTCTCATGCAGGAGAACTGTGTGGGAAGCCAGGGAGTGAGAGGCATCCTTGGTATTGAGTGAATGGGCTCCTTACTCTCCAGCACAGAACAAAGGGAGGGGATAGGGCAGGAAAGGACACAACCCAAGGGCCACCATTTGTGGAAATGTTTTAATTTGAGGATTCTTAGATACAGTGGTTAATCTGTTGCCCACAGGTCCTTACTAGTATGAGGCCTCATGCTGGGAGCACCCTCCTCCCTCAGGTTAAATACAAGATGATCACATTTCATGTCTCAGATTACAAGATTCACATCTTTGTTAAGCCCAGGACTGTGGTACAAAAGGAAGAGTTCATAGCTGATGAGTAGTCACTACAATTTGCTAGAAACATCAATTACTTTAGAATATTTTAACTATAAAATATATTGAATTTCCATATAGTTAACCATATACATGTGTAACTATTATTAAATGTAGTCAATCATTACAAAATAAGACATTCTGGGAGCAGGCTACAAATACACAAGCCGGCCAAATTCCTCAGGGAAGGTCCCTCTGGATAAACCAACCATAACTGTCCATCAAAAAGCCCAGCCACCTGCCAGGACACAGAGTTTAGAGTGAACAGGCTCTGCCCATTGCTGCCAAGTAGGTGTGGCCCCAACCTCCCAGAGTCCCGTCTGACTCTCCTCTGGGTCCCCAACTGCACCAGCTCACTCCTGTATCTGAGCACTGGAGCCACAGGTGACCAACTCCCACAGCAGGAACTGGGTCTCAGGAGCAAGACTGGTGGGGACTGTGCTCACAGGGATGAGGGACAGGGGCCACTCAGCCCAGTTTACCCCCTTACCCCCTGACAAGCCCACAGGGGATAGCCACCCAGCTGGCCTGCATAGGCTCAGGGCAACGCCACCAGAGACCTAGCAACACAGGCTGGTAGGTGCACGGACAGTGGTGCCTCAAGGCATCTGTGTCACAACACCACCCAGGTCAAGAGCCCCTTGGGCTGTCTGGCCTTGTCTAACAGCTGCCACAAAGTCTGGCAGCTGGAGAAGGCACCTGCCTTTTGCCAGGGTGGCAAAAAGCCTGGTGCGTAGGTGGGGAACGTAGACAGCTGAAGACAGTCACTTTCTTGGCAAGCAAGTAACTGCAGGGTCCACAGTGCAGTCACCTGGAAGGAGCGCTGACACCTGCCGCTGTGCCTGTGGGCCTTCCTTGGCCTCAGCCCTGGTCAGGTCTTAGTTGTATCATCTCTGGAGGCAGTGGGTCACAGGCGCTGGGCTCTGACCGCCATGCTTTATAGATTGGACTCCAACTGTGACTCACTAGGTTGGTACTCTGCCTTGTCCTCTATATGCCAGGAATCCAGGGGTAGGACAGCAACACCTTGGACACACACTTTTGTATACAGTCCTATTTACAAAGAACCAGCACAAGATGGAGCCACATGGGACCTGGTGCATCCGAGAGCAGAGGCTGAGAAGAGCTCATAGCCACTGGTCCTGGACCCTGGGCTGTGGCCCACCAGGAAGGCTGGGCTCACTGAGGCACCTTTCCTCTCACTTTAATGACGATAATGCAACAAAAACCTTTATATAAACAGTTTATTTACTCTAAACAGCAACACAGACAAAACGCCATATAAACACAAAGGAAGTGATGCGGAATTGAGACACTAGCTGACTTTGGATCTGAGGCTCATAAGCAACACAGCCCAGGTTCTGAGGAGACCGGATGAGGGGCAGGAGGGGCAAGTGATTTTCTTCTCGTACAGCCAGCTAGAGGCTACAGACAGCTCTGAGCAGTGGGAAGCATGCCTGCCTCCGAGAGCATAGGACTAGCTCCTAGGGGACTTACCCAAGTATAAAAGTTTATAATTTTACAGCAGTTGAAATACTGACATCAATATTAAAATAAAAGCAAGTTTTACATAACAATCAAAAATACAAAAGACTGAAGGAAGAGACCCTGTATGAAAACGGGGTGATTCAGCGGATGAAAACTGTATGCCAGTGGCGGGAATGGAGATGGTGCCCGCCCAGCCCTCCCAGGCGACTAGTGACCGTACGAGCGACTCTAGATTTGCAAAAGGTGTAAACGAGTTCTTGCCAAACCAATCCCTTCCTTTCTGCAGAGCCACAGGGCCGCTGCTTACGAGGGTGCAAACTTCTTGGCTTGTGCTCGAACCCTTTTCTCATATTCCACTCTGTTTTGGCTGAGGAGGTCAAAAGAAAAAAAGAGGTTAGAAGGGGCTGCAGGGATATTAGTGGGTGCCTGGAGAGGCCCGTGCCTACAGCCACCTGCGGCAGAGGTGAGGGACCCAGGCAGGTGCAGGGCAGAGCCTCGCCACAGGCAGAAGCCAAAACGCCAGAGGAAGAAGGCACATGCTGGAAGCCCAGGGCGGACTTTGTGGCAGGACATGGGAGTTTTCATGGTCACCCTAACAACGTGTGCATGAGACAGAGTGGCTCCATGGGCAGTGAGGAGCGCTAGGACTAGGGTGGGGCCAGGCTGCCCGCAGCACAGTCATCTCTAGACAAGAGTCCATTTTCCAGTCTTCTTTACTAAGGAGATGGGATCTGTCTTGTTGCCCAGACTGAACTGTAGTGGCTATTCACAGGAGTTTAGAACAGACACTGGATTGGCATAACCTTGAATTCCTGGCTCAAGTAATCCCCCTGCCTCGGCCTCTTAAGTACTGCGACAATCCAACAGGTCCAGGGTTAACCACAGAGATTTATGCAGCATTAAAAGTTGTGGAGAAACCCGTGCTGGTACACACCTATAATCCTAGTACTGGAGGATGAGGCAGGAAGACTAAAATTCTGATGCCGGTCTGGGCTGTATACCAATATCTTGTCTCAAAACCCAAATAAACACCACCCCCCCCAACAAGACAAAACAAGAAAAACCTAGTGCTAATCAGTTTGGTCTCTGGAATTTTTATTTTTTGAGATAGGGGGTTCCTATGTTACCCATCCTGGGCTTGAACCTGCAATCTTCCTGCCTCAGTCTCTCAAGTGCTGGGGTTACAGGTGTCTACTACCATGCCCAACTTCAGTGTTAAGTTTTTGCTCCCCATTTCCACAAGCAGACATGAACTTCTGGTGGGACCTGGGAGGGAAGCTGGGGCTGAGAGCTCAGCCTGCACTGGCCAGACTTGGGTGACATGCTGCCATTTGGGAAACAAAGACTCTTAACAGGGAGCAGTGTGGTCTCGCAGACTGAGGGAACACAATGACCTTTATACAACTGCGCTCCTTGGGGCAGATGTCCTAGAGGTTGCTTATGCAGGGTGATGCTGTGCAGTGCAAGCTGTAGCTTGTCTGTGATCTAGTACTGTGCTGAGACAGGCTGGACTCTAAGCCTTGTGCTTTTGCCTAAGTGCTGTGCCTTCCAGACCATATGCTGCTCATGCCCCAGGATTTGCAGAAGCTCCCAGGGCTGGGGAAAAAAGGGACCACTATGCAAATGATGGGTCTGTTGCCAGGGCCAACCTGGCAGGGCCCAGGGCCCACCACCCAAGGACTGAAGGGCTGCATGTGTCGATGTGCATGGCAGCACTGACCAGGGCCTCACCCAACTTGCTGCCCAACCCTGCTGTTCACTCAGTCAGAGTCCTCAGGATGAGGTACCTGCCAGGGCAGGCCTGGAAACTAAGGAGAAAGGGACTTGAGATTTCCACACACACTTCACAGAAAGTGCTTTTGAAATGGATGTTTGTCAGTGAAACAATGACTGCTCAGGGGGAAAAAAGTGCACAAGCCAAATGTACTAGTGCATGCCTGTAATCCGCGCACTCTGGGAGGCTGAGGCAGGAGGATCACAAATTTGAGCCCAACCTAGGCAACTTAGCAAGACCCTGCCTAAAAAAAGGCACGTGGGTTAAGTGGGACTGTAGCTCTATGTAAAGGCAATGGGTTCAATTCCTACTACTGCCAAAAACACCCCCCCAACAAACAAAAAAAACAAAAAAAAACAAACCGTACCCCACAAAAACCAAAAAGCAAACAAAAAGGCTAAGCAGGGCAGTGGTTAACAAGCCCAGGTGATGTGGCAATGCCAAGTCTGGACAGAGAACCACAGGCTTTGGTGTGGACAGGGGACCAAACCCACCATGTGAGCTGTGACACACAGTGAATATACATTCTGCACCTGTATGGTGACAAGGCCCAAAGCCCACTCAGCCTGTGCAGCATGGCAGTTTCTGCCCTCAGTTCATAAGCCACAGCTGTGGCAACTTGGTGTAAACATCTTAGCATCCTGCACTAGGGGCTGGGTCAGACTGAGCTCGTGTAGCCACACAGCATCAGGGTGGATGGAAGTCACACTCCAGGGGTCCTGGAGACTGGACTGGCTGAGCGTGGCCATCCTTGGCAGCATCTGGGCTGGGCATGCAGAGGGAGGAGCACTCCTCTTATAGCCTGCCTCAAGGTCCTCACCAGAGCCAGCTCAGGAACTTCTCAAGAAGAACAGGCTCAGGGGGATGGGTCAGAGCCCTTCAACCCCAGGGGGCATCTGGAGGCTCTTTTTCAAAAAGCTTTATGCTGCACTCCCCCAGGGCCCAAGCAAGATCCTGAGCAGCTTTCCTGGAGACCACCCACTAAAGGCACTAGGACAAGCCTACTATGGCACCCACACCCAGGGGGTTCCCTTCTGAGCTGGCTGTACCTCACTAGGGAGAAAGTAGCCCTGGAGAACCAGGTCACCTGATCTCCATCTCCTGATACCCATTCTTGCTCACCACAGGCTTTGGGTGGTTTTTTGGGTTTTTTTTTTGTACCAGGAATTGAACTCAGGACCTTGTTCTTGCCAGACAGGCGCTTGTACCACTGAGCTACATCCCCAGCCCTCACCACAGGCTTTGGACCAGACCTGATGTTATCCTCCATTCCTCTCTAGCTGCCTCACAGGCTTCCCCGGATCCTTCTCTGCTATTTGACTTGGACCTCTCTCCTGGGCTACTACACTCCACGTGCCCTCTGACAGGTACCTATCTGCACTTCCAGAAAGGGGTTGTGACCAGCAGGCCAGAGTCAATACTAACCAGTAGATCGTGTAGGCCTCTGCTTGAGCTGGGTCTTGGATATTTGGTTCATTTAGAAGTTCCTGTATTCCTAATAAGATCTGCACACACAAAAAAAACAGGAACATAGTACAACACATGTGGGGGCTCAGTGGCTGGCCACATGGCCTCAGCCTTGAGGACCGGCCAGGGTAGGGAAAGGGTCATGGGCAGGGACCAGTCCCTCCTACCTGTTTGATCGTGATGGCTGGCCTCCAGTCTTTGTCCTCCTCCAGGATGGACAGGCACACTGTGCCTGAGGGGTACACATTCGGGTGGAAGAGTGGCGGCTCAAATTTACCTGAAGGACCAGTAAGGAGGGATATGGTTGGAGGCCAATGTGTCTCACCCACTACTACCACTCTGCCTCCTCCCCATAGCAAGGTGCCTTTAGGAGAAGCAACTATGCCCAGGAGGGGCCAGGAGAAGAGCAGGCACACCCATCTCCTTCCAATGGACATAGCAGACCAGGGACAAAACAGTATCACTTTCAGGAAAGTGTCCAGGTGGAGATTGGGTGGCCAAGAGAGACCACAGGGTGGGCCCGGGTCAACTCAGCCTATGGCTTTTCCTATGTCGTTCTCTACCTGGGTGGACTCAAGGAAGATGGGAGGGAAGAGCCACAATACAGTAGGACAAGTCCAAGAAACAGACCAAAGTGGACATCCTAAAGGCCTTCACTGAAAGGTCCCATGGCTTTCACTGCCTGGCTTTTGTTTTATAAAAATGTGGGCTTCTGGAGAACCATGCCCCAGAACAGTCCCACTCAGGATTGCCCCCTAGCTGGTACTTTCAGGTATGCCTCATCTTTTATCTGGGTAACTTTTCCTCTTTATCTCCAAATGTTATTCAAGTACTTAGAAAAGTGCAAGTGTAGCCCAGCTTGATACATTAATAGGAAATGAATATGCCATTAGTATCAACAGCTTCACAGAAAACCTCCTCCTGACGCTGCCCACCACCCCAATCTCTGACACCTGGAGCTGACTTCTTAGGCTGTCTGTAACAGGGCACTGCTTGTTCTGCACGGTTTTGAGGCCACACACAAAAGCACCCTGGCACAACTCTAGGCAGGGCCATAGTGAAGGCTCCTAGATATAAACTGTGTGTGTGTGTGTGTGTCTCTTACAGGGCATCATGTCAGACACAGCAGATGTGGCTGTGTTCCTCATGCTATCCCACAGTCTGAAGAACCAGGCCTCTTGGGTACTCATTTGCATCTCTCTGGGGACCACCAAGGTAGACAGTCCCTTTCTCCACTGCCATTCATGCTTTTTCACATCTCTTGTGAGTAGTAGGAGCTCTTCGTATCTTCTGGCTATAAGTCCTCCTTGGTTATGTCTTGCAAACACCTTGTCCTACCCTAGGGTTCCTTTTCAGTATCTTTTGGTGAATGCAAGTGCCTAGTTTTAATCTGACCCACCAACTTTATTTCTTTGGCCAATAAGAATAGGTTGCACATTAAAAAAAGTACACATCACAGAAGTCAGCCTGCTTTGGGTGATTTGTTGGCTTCCCTCTAATGCAGCAGGTGCCACCTGACTTCTGACCTCACTCCTCAGCAAAGCCTGTTGCTAAATTGCCCAGAAGGAACACAAAGGGCATCAGTATCCTCAATGTCTGGCCTGCGAACTCAGGGGCATGCATGGAAGATTCACTCATGCTACATCCTTGCAGACCCTTTGAAATCACTGCAGCCCTACGACATGCTATTATTAATGCATATCTGGACTATCTCTTTTGGCAGTTACAAATGGGGCTGCCATAGTTTTCTTGTCCTCACCTTTGTAAACACATGCAAACATATGCTTCAACTGGATGTTTCCTAGAGTGGAACTGTGGAAGTTGAGTTTCCTTAGTCAGGGCAGTGTCTTAAGACTTATGCTCTCCAGCCAGCATCTGAATGCTCCTGCTGCATGGCACTTGGACTGCATCTGCCCTGCTGAGGACACTGGCATTCCATAGAGGTACATCCTCCACTCTGGTGATGAAGCCAGCCGTCCTTCCTGGTGTGGGCTGATGGATGGACAGCCTGCTTTGTGATGGCCTATACAATCACATGGTTGTTTGCTTTCTTCTTTGTTACTCGGAGGAGCTCTTAATGTATTGGGAGTGGCAAGAGGTACACACTCCTCGTCTCCATGGCTCACTCCATCTGCATTGGTGTTTTCTGATGAGGACTTTAACTTTAAGCGGTCCAGTGGACAGTTCCTGCATGGCCAGCACTTCCTCTGCTCTCCTAACAAGGTCCATGCCTACCCCTAGTCATGAAGATAGCTTTCTGCCCCTTCCTCTACTGGGCCTATCTCTCCCCTCTCAACAGGTTCCACATGCACTGTAGGCTTGTCCATGGTAAAGTGCAGCACTCTCTCCTTCCACTGGCCAGCTCTCTGGGGCAGCCCCGGCACACACCAAGCTCATGTACACCAAGTGTTTCTGGACTGTCCACTTTCCTCTGTGGGTCTGCTCTCTGTCTCCATGCCAATTCAAGCATCTCAGCCTCTGTGCCCCAAGACGGGTCTTGGTATCTCATGTGTGACACTGAGCCACACCACCAATGGGTCTGGGTACTTCTTGCATTTTGCCTATCTACAGGTGTTTTAGAGCCTGATGGACTCTGACTGGGATCCAGTGACAGGTACAGACCACTTCACGGGGGGATGGACTTCTTCCCCATGCTACGCTCTCTGGCCTGTCAACTGTCTATGTTCTCTTGGTCTCGCTCAGAAACAAATACTAGTTCCCAGTTAGAAGTCCTGCACTATCTTCTATGGGATTCATTTCAGTGCATCTAAATGGTTTAAGTAGAGCCAGGCATGGTAGCACGTACCTGTAACCCTAGCACCCAGGCTAAGGCAGGAAAAACCTCCTAAGTTTAAGGCCTGGGCTACACAGTGAGTTCAAGGCCAGCTTCAAATGTATAGTGAGACCCTATCACAAAAAACCAAACAGGTGGGCATGGTGGCACACACCTGTAATCCCAGACTCAGGAAGCTGGAGCAGGAGGATTCCCTTCAGTTGGAGGCCAGCCTAGGCTACATAGTTAAGTTCAAGGCCAGCCTGGACTACGTAAGACCCTGTCTCAAAAAACAAACAAAAACCAAAACAATAACACACAAAACCCAAACCCAAACAAATAAATGGTTTAATTTTAAAGTTTTCATTCATTGCATTCTATGGAAACTAACATTTTCTTTCTTTTTTTTTATATTAACCTTTTCTACAGTGATCTTTACAAACAGTCTGAAGTTTTGGTCCCCCTTTCAGGCTCACTAATGTAACTTTTCTTTTCTTCTTCCTCTCTTTTGGTGGTACTAGAGATTAAACCCATGGCCTTCACATAGTTACATCCCAGCTCTTTTTACTTTTCATTCTAAGACAAGGTGTTGCTATGTTGCCCAGGCTAGTCTCAAATGTGTAATCCTCCTGCCTTGGCTTCCCAGAGTACTGGGATTACAGGTGTGTGCAACCATGTCTGGCTACCCAGATGACTTCTTTTTCTTGCATGGCTGCATCACAATGTGGAAGAAAAGTGATTAAAGCAATTATGTCTATCTTTTTTTTTTTTGGTCTTTTTGAGACAGGGTCTCACTACACAGTTCAGGCTGGCCTTGAGCTCACTTTGTAGCCCAGGCTGGTCTGGAACTTGCAATGATCCTCCTGCCTCAGCCTCCCAAGTGCTGAGATTATAGGTGTGAGCCACCACATCTGGCTTAGTTATGCCTATCTTGTTCTTAGATTTTTCTATTAATTAAGAGATCACTAAGAAATAACAGGCACCACAAAGATTTAAGGCAGTCAACAATGCACAATGGAACAAATCTGTGCTTGGGGTGCCTGTTAATTTTAAGTTCCGATAGAATCATTATAATTGAACTAATATTTCAGCACAGTGAAAGTTCCTACCCAGCACTAACCCCTCTATGTATTGCTGTTCTCAGTATAGTGGACATGATTTTGTGACTGAAGACAGTGTGTTGGTTTCCAGCCAGAGTAGGGGAGCTGAGGGGTCCTCTGCGCCTAAGGTTTGCTAAACTGCACTGAGATCATTTTGCCATAGCCCCTGTTTTAAACATGAACCAGCGTTTCCCTGACCTGTAGGTTGAGTGTCCATCCCTCCAGCTGCAGGCACAGCCACAGCCATAGCTGAGTATGAATTGTAGGAGACAAGAAGTGGGTAGCAGCAGGCTGGATTAGAGTGAGAGTCTTTTCTTTCTTTTTTGGTGTGGGGGCATTGAACCTATACTTGCTCTACACATGCAACCTACAGGAAGACAGTATGAGTCTGTTTTTTTTTTGTAGGCCTGTTCCCCCTAGGACTGGGACACTCATGGGCACCCCATGCAGGTCCTCAAAGTTGCCATGAAGGGTTCAGGTGCTCTGGGCTCAGGACCTTCCCACCATTAATGAGGATCAGAGAGTAAGACAAATACATGACCTTCCCAATCCCAGGGCTGCAAACAGACTCCTATCTACAGCCTGCACACAGATCAGAGCCACATTCAACCAGAGCTGCCTTTATTTCCACACCAATATCACTGTACCACCCAGGGCTCTGGAACTCTTTGAAGAGGACTGTGGATCCCGGTAGGAACTTACATTTTGGTGGTGATGATGGATAATCATCTTTGAAAAGCATCCGCAGCTTGAACAAGCCTCCTTCCCAGGGAGTCTGTGGGGAGGTGAACTGTGGTTAGGTGCGGCTTGCCTGCACAGGCAGACCTAGGAGGGAGAGGCTGATCCCCATAATACACCAAACCCAAGGACTGCCAGCCCCCTGGGGTCAGACTCAACAGATGCGGGCTCCAAAACCTGTACTATCCCCACCAAGGGGACTTCTGCAGTATCTATGGGGGAGGTGGAAAGAGCACTCCTTGGAATGGAGCAGGGGCAGGGGCAGAATTTCGGAGAAGACATGTGGGGCCCCCAGATTCTCAAAGGGTCACGATCTACAGCTCGTGGCTCAGATACATAAAGCTGCTCATTCTACCCTGCCTTAGAGCCCACTTGGACAGGGACTGGTGTTAGGGTTATTCCACACCCTAACATCTCCTCCCACCCCATTCAACCCCTCAGAGGGCACCTGCTCCACCTGAAATAAGGGGCAAGGGATGGTCTCAGCAAGGGCTGGGGATCCGTACTGTGCTCAACCGAGTCCCATATGTACAAATCCAACCTCCATCTGCTCAGTCGAGGTCAAGGCCTACTAAGATGATGCTTGGCTCAGAGGAAGCAGAACCTAGACTGAGCTCGTTACTCTGAAGGTGGGTTGAAATGGAGGCAATGAGCCTCTAGGCACAGTCCAGACACCTCAGAATCTCTGGGGACACTCACTTGTCCCCGTATGCTGGACAGTAAGGGCATATAACTGGCTCAGGACTCAGATGGCCTAGAAGGGAAATACTGAGGCTTCACACATGGCCGCCTTTCTAGAAACACTGTGACTGGCTCACTGTGTCACTGGGGTTCCCACACCTTACCACATCTAGAAGCACAAGCCAGAGCCCCAGCCCCCAGTGAGAACACCAAGAGCTCCTTGCCAGGACCCCAGTCTTGTTCTCCAACTCGATATCCAAAACCCGCCAGAATGTAGCCCATGCCACCTGCTATAGCTCAGTCCTAGTCTGGCTGCTGCCACTCCCTTCTGATCCAAGCCTAGGATGTGACCTGGCAAATAGTAAGTCAGATGGTGTGATCACAGGTACCACAGACATGTAAACCTGAGCCTTGTCCTGCCTGAGTGCCTTGCAGGTGCAGCAGAGCTGGCTTACCCCCTTCTTCCCTGGGATGGCGCACTCCCAGTTCATCAGGTTCATTGTGCCGTCGGGATTCTTGGTAGGGACAGCCACAAAGCCCTGAGAGAAAATAGCCACAGAAGTGTATCAGCACTGTGGGCCTGTTCAGAAATTCAGAGAATGGGTCTGCAAACCTCTGCCCAGTGGCTATAGGCCAGCACAGCAGGGACCATGGGGGTTATGAGTCACCCCCTCAGTGGCAAAGAAATAGAGCTCTCCTTACAAACGGGTGGTCTTTCCTCCAAGCTTTTCTCTCCTGGGCAAGTCTGCTGAGGGCGATCCCCGACATATTCAAAGTCCCTGGAACAGGCAAGAGCAGAGTGTGGGTTAAAAAAGGAAATCTCTGTTCTGCTGTGCTGCCCTGATCATAATGGCTAGGGTGTGTGGGTATTCCCAAAAAGCACGTAAGCCAGGTTCAGTCAACCCAGTAGACTGTGCCCTGCACTCCGCAGTAAGGAGACAGACTTTGGAGGCCAGACTGCATCTCCTGAGAAATGTAGCAAGGCAGTGTGACAGGGACCGCAACCCACCCTCAAAAGTCTCAGGAAAGGCAGCCTGAGAGCTGGGGTGCAAAGATGGGTTATACCCTTACTGGTGCACCTGGTATGTGTGTATAAGCAGTTCCCCCAGCAAGATTTGTGCCTAGAGAGGAAAATAACATTTACTCTTGAGGACAACAGAGGAAAAAAGCAGATAATGGGTAAACCTCACAGTGGACAAGCCACCCCAGCAGGCCAGCCCTGTAACCTGGTAGGTGGCTACTCAAACTTCTGGTTAGAGCCATCTCAGTGGACCTGGAGGAGACCTTCAAGACTCCATACACCAGGGGTAAAGAAGTACTTTCACCCAAGGCCATGGTGTCAGCACAGTGGAAGACCTGGTGGGCAAGGCCTACAGTTCGATGGTACCCTGATTAGAACCCACTGGGTGCCAGTCACTTCCTTCACCATGTGAAACAGTACTCAAACCACTAAGCTTGCTGGAGAATTGTGTAGGTCTTCATAGTCTAGAGGCTCAGAGACATCCCAGACAAGTACCTAAACATCAAGCTAGGCTCTCACAAGAGGGATGTTTCTTTGAGGTGGCTCATACTGAGGATTATAGGTGACACATCTCTCACCAGAAAAAGGTCCCACATGGGAGCTGAACGTAATGCCCTTGATAATATACACATGGGGCTGTGCTGAGTTTGGTGGCATCAATCTCCCAGCAAGCCCAGCAGCAGTGGGCCTCACTCTCCAGCTCAAAGCTGTGTCTTGACCACTGGTCCAGTTTCAACACAGCCATGAGGCCTTGCCCTAGAATCCCTCTTCTTCCCTAGGATGGCACATCCCCAGGCAAGAAGTGTTATAGAGTCTTCACCCTCTCAATCATGAACCTTCTAGCTCTCTGACTCTGGAAGGGATGGCTATGTTCTTGTGAAGCCACTGGCTGGTCTCCTTCTCCTCCCCTTCCCCCACAGTTATGTGGCCATAACTGCCTTACCAACCAAACCATACCCTTCACTAACCTGACTTCCCTGCCTCTTCAACCCACAAGCACCATCCAGAAACTTCATTTGTCAGTCTAACTGATAAGCCAGGTGCACCTCCTTATGTCAGAGCACAGCTGCTCTCAGTGTGCTCCACAAGGGAACAAGCTTACAGGTGGCTTACAGGTGCTGGGACTCCTTCGTCCCACTGCATTAAGAACTTGTGTGGGGCCCTGTACTGGGGTTTCAGGCAGCTTTTGACAAATCTTTTACCAAATAATCAAAGTGGAAGGGGGTGCGTGGGATTGCCATCAGAGGCCACTACAAATCACCACATGGGTACAGGCTTTTTCAGCTGTATATTCAGGTCCTGGTAAGAAGCAGATAGTAAGTCCTCAAGTCAACAGCATAGGCTATCAGAGCAAGACTGTGACAAAGAGCCCACACAGCTCTAGCACCTAAGCCTGGAGCTCAGGCACTGATGGCTACTACCTTATCTAGCTTCAAGAATAAGTCCAAAATAGATACATCGGGCTCAGACCCAAAGCAGAACTGTCTGTCCACCACAGGAATCCAGAGCCCAGGTGTGCCCATGCCTCCCTAAACAATGAGACAAGACTACCTAGGACAGTGGTGGCAATCCTCTGGCATGTATACCACAGCAGGCTGTTAGTTATCACCGAAAGCACCAAAAGGTTTGCCATCAATGACCCAGAACAAGTAGAGCCACTAAGGCCACCACCAGTATACTTGTCTGGAACATTTACCCTTTCAGGAAGCTAGGACCAAGGCAGAATTCTTCTAAGCACAGGGGAAGATACAGGTCACTGCCCCTGGTGGCCTATGGGTGAGGAAGAACCAGATGCCATCACACATAGGATGACAGTCTACTTGGCTGGCTGCTTCTATTTATTTTTTGGGACAGGGTCTCACTTTATAGTTCAGACTGGCCTTGAAGTCATGGTGATCCTCCTGCCTCGGTCTCTCAAGTGCTGGCATTACAGGTGTGTGCCACCATGCCTGGCTACTTAGTCTTTTTTTTTCTTCCCCTGAGATAGGGACTTACTATGTAGCTCAGGCTGTCCTTTAACTCATGTAGATCAGGCTGGCCTTGAACTCAGCAATTCTGCCTCAGCCTACTGAGTGCTGGGATTATAGGTATGCACCACTGTGCCTGGCTTGGCTGGCTGCTCTTGCTGGGGGTGGAACAGGCCTGCTATAGTGGCCACACTGTGTGATCTATGCTCAGGAAGCCCACTCTCAATTGGGGTGTGTCCTATGGGCAGGTCAGGCAACACTGAACAAACCTATGAGAAATCTGCAGAAAACTGCTCCAGGCAGGGAAGGGCCAGAGCCAAGTCAGAAGAGCATAAGAGCCTGAGGGTCTCCGGGGTTGGAGCAGAGAGCAAATATCACAGTTTAATTCCCACAAGCTAGTTTCTCAAACCCTTCCCTCAGCCTGTACTTCTCAATAGACCAGCCCAACTCTATCCTGAGAAATTCCTCCATCTTGAAGGTACAGTACCCTGCAGCTCCCCAACGGAGGGTGGGCTCCCTGAGCACAGGTCACAGAGTGGCCACTATGCTGGCTCTATTTCTTCCCAGCAAGAGCAGCCAGCAGAAGGAGGTGGCCAAGCAGGCTGCCACATTCAGGTTAGACGGGCCATTTGAGTAGTAAGAGGTCCTTAACAAGTCTGGGCAGGACCAGACATACAAACTTCCTGCAGCCCTGGGCCAGCACAATGGACACTGAGAAGCCATGGGTACTGTACCTGACAAACGTGGGCAGAAACACAGGCCACCTCTCCCACTCAAGAACAAAGCACAGCTCTCTACAGAGGTCCCTGTCCTAGGGACAACTGTAGTCACCCAGGTGTAAACAACACTGAGGGGTGATTCGAAAAGAGCACATCTGCCAGTGCTTCTTCCCAAGGCCTGGTTGCCTCTTACATATCTTCTGTCCCACAGCATGCCAAATTAGTGGGCCCACAGGAAATCCCCACCAACAGGGAAAGAGCCCCAGTCGCACATCTGCACCCATCTAGGCAAGAGCTTGCTCTCCAACACGGGTACTCCTGCTCCTGTTGTCCAGAAGCAAGCAACTGGTCACAATACAGAACTCCACACTCCAAATCCCACTTAAAATTGAATTTGACTTTCCAAGTTAACAAAGCCACTTTTAATGCGTTCCTAAACGCCTCAACACAGGAAAGACAAAAACTCTTAACTTATCAGAGTCAGGCAGGGCACAAACACTGTGCAGGGTTGGAGCCCAAGTGTGGCCCTCACCTCTCTTGGACCGGTACAATGGGCTGCACTTGACACAGCAGTAAAGACTTCGGTGCTATTAACTGGCTACTTAAGCACGTGCAGGTACTCATGTTTCCCCAATCTCAAATTCATGACACACCTGCACAAGCCCTTAGAAGCGCCTCTCCACCTAAATGTACTTCTACATACCTCAAGCACCCCTAACTCAGGAGAATGGGGAGCACAGGATCTGCCTCAGGTTCCCTGGCTGTTTCTGAAGCAAGGTCCCAAAGCTCAAAGCCTCGAGATGAGGGCCCAACAGCAACCATTCCAAAAGCCCAGGTAGAGAACCTTTCTGTAAGCAGTTGAGTACAAACTTCGGCTGTACATCCGTTTTTTAAACAGCAGCTAACGCGCCCACCCATGAAGCCAACATTTCCTTAAGTATAAGAAACTGGCAGACCAGAGTCTATGCAGGGAAATCGGCAAAACCAAAGTCAGGGAGAGCAAATCCGCAGATCGCGACACGGCCCGCTGACCACGGCCTCACCGGCCTCACCGGCCTCCCAGCCGCCAGCCCCCATCACCGTCCAGCAATCCCGCGGGGCGAAGCAGGACCTACGGCGGGGCGTCCCGGTGCGTCGGGAAACTCATCTGATGCCGAGCTATCGGAGGCGGGCCGCGACCCAGCTCTGCACCTGGCTTGGCCAGAGGACCGTGGCTGGGCCGGGTCGCTCCGAGGACTGCGGGCGGGAAAGCAGAAGGCCGCGGGCAGGGAGCGAGGCTGCGGGGCGTCACCGAAGCGGTAGCGGGCAAGGGCCGCGGGCAGGAAGGCGGCGACAGCGAGCGGGCGGGAGGAGGCCGCGGGAGGGAGGCGGGGAGGCCAGAGGCCTGGAGCCCGGGCCGGT